GCCTGGCCGGCCTGCCCCACCTCCGTGTGTGACCGCTGGCCTGAGCTCGTCCTCGTCCCTCCTCCTCACCTGCTGCGGGCCCACCCCAGGCTCTGCTGTCCTTCCCGCCGTCGCTCCTGCTCGTTTTGGGGTGCACCCCGCCGTGTTTTGCACTTCACTCGGGGGGTCCTGGCGCCAGTGCTGCTGGGCCTTGGCGGTTTTTGGTTCGTCTCGTCCCTTTCTGGTCCTCGAACGAGCCTGGCCGTCCCCACGGCCCGCGATGCTTGTCCTACAGGAGGCCCCGTGGGGGGTGAACGCGAGGGGCAGCCCCACGGCTCCGCAGCCGCCTCGCTCCCCGACTCCAGAGGCTGAGGACAGCGCTGGTGCCCACGTGGTGGCCGAGGCCCAGAGCAGGTGAAGCCGGGGTCCCTCACGTCGGCCTCGACTCAGCGATTCCGGGCACGACGTGCGCGACCCCGATTCCCGTTGTCCCTAGCTGCCGTCTGGCTCTCGAGAACACCGAGACCAGATGGCCTGTGGGCCCTGGAGCGAGATTTCGGGGTGTGCAGAGTGTAGCCCCAGCCTCAGCCGTGTCTGCAGAAGGAGGGGCTCCCCGGCCCCACCAGGAGGACCTGGCTTCACCTGCCCCAGTGGCCCGGCTGGACGCGGTCTAACCGTTTTGGGGACCAGGAGACAGGCCGCAGGGGCCAGGAGTGTCTCATGCTCTGCAGAACTGGGGTGGGGGGGCTCTGCGGTCTTCGTGCTGTCCCATCTGTCCCCCCGTCTGCGGTGGCGGCTGCACCTCCTCTGCTCCAGGACGGACCTCACCTCGGCGTTTATTCAGAGCCTTGTCGGGTCCCTGTAGGGGGCTGGCCTCGTCCTCCCCGCTCACTCCACTGTCCCCCCCGCTCACTCCACTGTCCCGACTGTCCTGGGGGACAGAACCCCACGTGGCTGTAGAGGGATGGGAGCATGGCGAGATCGCGGCCGATCACGGCAGCCACGCCGCGTCCTCGGTCCCCCCGAGGACGTCGAAGACAATGGCGGCGCCAACCGAAGTGCTGATGCTTCTGCCTGGCGCCAGGCGCGCGTTTGACAGTGTGTGTGGGGGTCTGGGGCGTTGCTCGGGGGTGAAGCTGCGGGGCGGACGGGCCGAGGGCCAGGAGCGCTGCTGCAGGGCCCCGGCTGGGCCACCAGCGGTGGACGCGGTGGTGGCCCCTCCCACGCCCCTCGAGCTCCCCACCGCGTCTGTCAGCTGCGCACTTTTCTCCCGCGCCCCGTTTTGACTGGACTTCCTGCCGCCACACAGCCGGACGCCGCCCCAGAGCTGTGTGTGCAGCCTCTGCTGGTTTCCAAGTGGACTCAGTTCCAGGGACAACAAGTCGGCCTGCACAGGAGCCTGGAACTGGCGATGTGGGGTGAGGCACTCAGGATGCCGCAGATGCCCCGCCGGGCTGGTCCTCATGTGGGCCCAGAGACCCTGTGGCCAGCGGGCGTGGCTCGGGAGCACCCCGTCTGTGCCTGGCCCTCTGCGTGCCACCAGAGCCAGCCTCCAGGGCCCTTCCGTGAGGGGCGCTTTCGCCTCGGGCCTTCTGTCTCTCCATGGCTGGACGGAGGGTTTGGTCCCATTAGGAGGGTTTGCGGCCCCCCAGCCCCCTCCAAGTTCCACTGGGAAAGCAGGCTGTAGGGACACGAGGCCTCGGCGCCCGCCAGCCTTGGGCCATCCAGCTGCAGCGCGTCCGTGGATGTGGCCCTTGCTTGCTCTGGCATCAGGCCAGATGCTTCCTCAGGCCGGGCTCCCCCTCAGTCCCCACCTGCTGCCCAGTGTCCCCAGTCTGTGGTCTCCCAGGAATGCTGCAAGCTGGGAAACACAGAAGTAACTAGAAATGCAGCCGCCAGAGTGAGTCTGCAGCTAAGTGTAGCCCCCTCGGCCACCCCTGACCTGCCGCCCACATGCCTCGCTGAAGGACACGCTCTGTGTGGGGTGGACGGCCGACATGCACTCCTGAGTCCCGTGCTGTGTTAGCAACACAGTCCTGACTAAAGGGCACGTCTGCTAAACATAGCCGCGAGGCCCACCTGGCACTGCAGCCTGCCGCACGTCAAGCGGACACATTTCTGCTACGCTATGCCAGAGCCTCGAGCATATGCTGCCCCCAGACCACACGGTCTCCCTGCTGACGTCAGCGCCCCGAGGTCCCCGCCCCGGGCTCTTGCGGGGCCTGCGTGGGGCCGGGCTTGGCCTCTTGGCCCTGTGGGACACACTGAAGACGGTGAGGGGGCCTCCAGGGAGTGGATGCACACGTCCAGCGGACCCCAGAGGGCCGGACGCCACAGCCCATGTTTGCTGTTCCTGCCGCTGCTGACTTAATGGCTTTGGGACGAGGTCCTCCGGCAGTGTCAAAAGGCAGGAGGAAGCTGCCATCGTGGCCATCAGGGGCCGTGAGTGCCGTCCTTGTTGCATGCAACGGGGCGACACTGGGGGAAGGGACGGCCAGGCGGGCGGGGCACGGCCAGGTTCAGTGGCGAGGCCGGGGCGTGGTGGGAGCAGCGTCAGCAGCAGCGTCGCTCGGCACTGGCACCAGAGCCACAACTCTACTGCCAGGAGCATGGCCGTGACTCACGGGGGCAGCAGACGGACACGGCCCGTGGCCACTGCCAGCCGACCTCCACGAACCTGGAGCGAGATGCCCACTGTGCGCCAGTGAAGGGCGAGTTTTCCAGGAGGAGCAGTGGGGGCCTGGGGCCGCGGCCATGAGCAGGAGGGGG